ACAACTTTAGTCTGCCAAGTGGTTGGTAGACTTCTGAGAATTTTCCTAACCTGATCGCCACTGGTGTATGGTTTGCCAAAGGCTTTCAAGTCACTAATTATCTTACTGAACCTGGCAAACATTTCTTCGATGAATTCTCCTTCCTTCATTGAGAACAGTTCATAGTCGTGAACTAGCATATTGATGTGAGTTTCCTTTACCTTGCTGGTACCTTCATAGGTAACCTCAAGTTTGTCCCACATCTCTTTGGCTGTATCACAGCTAGATATTTTCTCATATTCTTTCACCACTTATTGCATTGTGAAGAAGATTTCTTGCCTTGTGATTTATTTGGACGGGTTCCAGTTGTTTCTTTGTGTATGAGTCTATATCATCAGGGTCAGCGAGTGGTGGAGTGATGGCAGGCAGTGGGTAGTTTCCCTTCTTGATAACTCTCCATACCTTGATGTCGTATGCCTTGGTGAAGATTTCCATTCGGATTTTCCTGTGGGAGAAATGTTGTCCATTGAAGTAAGGTGGCCTTACTTGTGAAGTTCCTTCCTCAAAGAGAGCTCTTATGATAACCTGATTTGCCATGATCTTTTTCTCACAAGCTGTTAAGCAGAAAACAAAAGTGTGAGCATTGCTCTGATACCAATTGAAAGTATAAGAGGGGGGGTGAATTGTCACTAATTCAAATTAATTGTTACTGAGTTGACTTAAAACTTTAGTAGTCGACTAAATATGGCAATCTTGCAGATATAACAGTTTGAGGTAATATGCAGAATGTAAATGCAGAAATTAAAGACACCAGGAATTTTATACTGGTGCGGATTCAATGTGAATCCTAATCCAGTCCCCTTGGGTTGCAAGGGATTTCTCTTCAAGCAAATAAGTTTTATTTCGAGTACAGATGTGATGTATATCGCTCAGATTCTCTAGCACTCGTTTGATACAATGCCTCACCAGTTGTATGCCCTCTTTCTATCCTTGACTTATTACACAACAGATCTATGTAGGCTACTATGCTTGTTTCCAGTAGAATGAAGAGAGTTATTTTGGTTCGATCAGAGTATGCTAAGGATGATGTTACACAGTACATTTATACAAAGATGAATGGTGAAGGCTCGTCAACCCAAGGGTTTAGATCCTTGGAAAGAATTGATTGGAAATAAGGAACTATCTGTTGCTTCTCTTGAGATCCTTTCCTTCGGCAGACAATGGAATTAACAAGATTTCTCCTTGAGTGTTGGACCTTCCAAACTTGACCACTGACTGGATCTTCTAGCCTTTATTATTCTCCGGTGATTTCGCCAATCACAGATCACTTCGAATCTTCACTTCGTTATGGCTGATTTGATTTCCCAGATTCATGGAGCTAATCCTGATTTGCTGATGTAGATTTGTAGCTTTCCTTGTACAGCGTGCGTTCTATAGGTGGCTTCCCTTGTGAGAGATTTCCTTCCTTGTTCGACACAGCCATTTCACTAGTTCTTCTTTACTTCATTGAATTCCTGCACATGTATATTAATTGCATCAGTAAAATATGATCTAACAAATAGACATGACATGCTTCTTGGACTGGATACCCGATCTGTGCAACTATCCAATCTCTCATAAACCCATTATGACTCGTGTTCTAAAACCGAGAACCTTTGCCAGGATTCTTTCAGTGCCAATGGTTGCAAGGAATTCCTTCCTCTCGATCAACGGTGCCCTTTGCGGGTTTTCGCCAATTGACCTCTCTCATTTCTCTTCTTACCGTCGCCTTGTAGTGCTCTTTGCGAGTTTTCACTAACAAGACTCTCTCATTTTCAGTTTCTCTACTTACCATCGCCTTACAGTGCCTAATAACTGTGATTTTAACACGTTTTATGCCCATACTTGCCTATGCTTTATGTATGAATTGTCATAAAATAGACCCAGAATGCTTACAAAGTGCGCTTGATTGTAGGTTTGAGCGACAAGATGACAAAAGTCAAAAATCGGCTCGAAACGGAATGAAACCTGCTCAAGTGTCAAAAATCATTGAAGTGGGGACAAGAGGACCTAGCGCGGACCGCACTGATTTGCTGCGCGGCCGCGCTAGGAGATTCAGAGAGTATGCATTTCAAGGGTTTCCATGCGCAGTCCGCGCTCCTTTCTACGCGGTCAACGCTGGTGTCCACGCGGTCGCGCTTCATTGTTGTGCGGTCCGCGCCCATTAGCCTGCGCGGCCGCGCTACCTCTTTGTGCGGTCCGCGTCCCCAGCTTCAGATGTGAGTGATCGAAGGCCAAGACCCCTACGCGGCCGCGCTGCATTTCTGCGCGGTCCGCGCCATCCCCGCAGGGGTATTTTTGTCCAGTTTTTCTAGCTTAGTATAAATAGAATATTTTATTATTTCTAGGTCAAGTTTTAGATATCAGATAGCAGCAGCACTCGTGACACTCAAGTTTTAGCCTATTTTGGGCATTTTCATCTTGTTTTATCGTGGATTCTTGTAGATTAACATTCTAGTTAATTAATATGTTGATTTTATCTACTACTTCTTCAATTTCTGTTGCTATTATGTCTAGCTAAACCCATTAGCTAGGGTTGTGGCTCAACCCTAGTGTGGGTAATTAATGGGTGTGATTGTTTAATGCTTGAATGATGTTGGGTGTTAGCTATTTGGGTTAATTTTATGATTTAACTAGGATTTGGTGGTTGCAAACACTATGTCTAGCTTAGTGGGTCTTGACTCTTCTTGAGAAAGAGTGTCTATGACTCCAAAATTAACCCAACAAGGAATTGGGATGGACCCATGAGAATGGTAGTCCCAATTAACGGGTTAAACCTCGAGAGAGTAATTACCCAACTTGAACCCTAAGTTGCTTGGGCTTGTTGGCCTACCCAATTGGTCTCGAGAGAGTCAATTGGGCAAAATCACTCTTTCTACCGAGAGGTGTGAGAGTGAGTGCAATCGTGCAACGGTTATAGCATAAGCCCTATAATCATCATTCTTGTATTTGGAATCTCTACCCGTTAGTTGACCACCTAGGTAAATGCCACGACCCTAGTGTCATTCTCTATCTTGCATACAACCTAGAATTAATATCTTAGCATAATTTAGTTATAATTAGTAGTTATTAAATTGTAGTTGATAATCATAAAAAACCCAAAAATGTTAGAAGATCAATTAGAAGCAAACAGGCATTTCTAGGCTAAGCAAATATCCAACTCCCTTTCCAGCTCCCTGTGGAAATTGACCTCGATACCACTATTGGGTAAAAGTATTAGCACCCACTCTTCCTAAGGTTGAGTCCGCTGCGATCAAGCACCTCAGGAGATTTGGCTCGGAGGCTGANTAGGCTACTATGCTTGTTTGCAGTAGAATGAAGAGAGTTATTTTGGTTCGATCAAAGTATACTAAGGATGATGTTACACAGTACATTTATACAAAGATGAATGGTGAAGGCTCGTCAACCCAAGGGTTTTGATCCTTGGAAAGAGTTAATTCTTTTCAAGAATAAGGAACTATCCGTTGCTTCTCTTGAGATCTTTCCTTCGGCAGACAATGGAATTAACAAGATTTTTCCCTGATTGTTGGACCTTCCAAACTTGACCACTGACCGGATCTTCTAGCCTTTATTATTCTCCCGTGATTTCGCCAATCACAGATCACTTCGAATCTTCACTTCGTTATCGCTGATTTGATTTCCCAGATTCACGAAGCTAATCCTGATTTGCTGATGTAGATTTGTAGCTTTCCTTGTACACCGTGCGTTCTATAGGTGGCTTCCCTTGTGAGAGATTTCCTTCCTTGTTCGACACAGCCATTTCACTAGTTCTTCTTTACTTCTTTGAACTCCTGCACATGTATATTAATTGCATCATTAAAATATGATCTAACAATCTCCCCCTTTTTGATGATGGCAAAATAATATACGTAGATGTAAGGAAGTAAACAACAGTTGACTTCCCTGTTTGTTACTAGCCGACTTGGCTCCCCCTCAATGTGTGTAGTCAACTGGACTTAGTCTCCCCCTCAATGTGTGCAGTCGACTTGTACTTGTATCCTGTATAGTTGACTTGTTCCTGTGCAATACATATAAAGTCTATGCATGTAGCATAGTCGACTTAACCTGTTCAAAGAATAAAGAGTACCATCTATGCATGTAGCATAGTCGACTTGAACCTGCACATATTATCATTACAGACCAAAGAGGTCTATGCATAGTCAACTTGAACCTGCACAGATTGTCATAAGAGATATACATTTTCCCCCTTTTTGACATCAGCAAAGAGGGATTAGTAAGCAAAAAAAAAAATATCCACACAGGCAAGAAAACATCCAAGGGCACAGCCCAAAACAAAGCCAAAACAAGTTTGAAACAAAAATTGTCTGTAAAACACATCCACACTAGCGACGCAGGAAGTAAGTAAGAGTGTTGCAGATCGCCTCCTTCAACTGTTCAAAGCTGGTGTTTGACAAAACTTACATCACTAGGCCCCAATTGATTTGGAAGGGTTTCAGAGGGATTTTCAGCAATGCACTGTTTGGCCTGATCAAAGGAAATTTCAAAGTCCTCAGGCCAAACATTTTTAAAGAGAGTGGGAAACCAGTGCAACGACAGAGAAAAATAGAATCGAACAGGGCACAGTCAAGAACAATGCGTTTACCAAGGACAAGAGATTCAAGCTTATCAGGTTTACTAGAGCGAAGATTAGCATAAAACATACGGACTAAAGGCTCATACACTTTAGGCGGGGAAATAGAGAGAAATTTTTCCCACCCTTGATACACAAAGAGATCCTTTACCTTACAGTTGAGGTCCTCTATACCGTCAAGATCCACAATTCTTCCATGGGCGATGGGCTTATCCTTGAGAGAGAGAAAAGAATCCCTATTTGGGGTATCCCGGAAATTTAGGTCGGAATCGAGAGAAGCAGAGAAATCGAATTTTGATTTCTTTGGATTGGAAGAGACAGGAAGATCCTCCATGGGACGCTTACCAGAGGCTTTTTCTCCTAAGAGTTGAGAGTGTTCAGAGAACGCTCCTTAAGAAGAGGCGAAGCCCTCAGAATGATCAGACCCTAGGTCTACTTGCTCAGGAGGCGCTGAAGAGGGTTTTGCCTTAGCACGGGTGCTCTTTCTGGTGGAGGCGGAGGGTTTTTTAGAGGTTTTAGCCATGGGAGAAGAGAGGGTTTTCACAAACTGAAGAGAGAGGATGGAGATGAGAGTGACCCGAAAAGGCTTAACTTAAACTAAGAAAGATTTGACGGTTGAGTACAAAAAGGAAAGAGTGTTAGATGAAACGATGTGATGATTGGCTTTCCATCTTCGACTGCGAACTGATGGGAAACAGAATAAAAAAGAGAGGGAAGGAATTGAAAGCGTAGTTAATGCACTGAAAAGTAGTAATTATGACAAGTTTTTTGAAAAAGAACAATTAGGTCCTAAGAGTTTTTTGAAAACCAAATTATCCCAAGTAATTTTCTCAAAAGGCAAAATCTTTCTTCCAACAAAGGTTTAGTAAAAATATCAGCTAATTGGGCAGAAGTGCCAACAAAAGCTAATTCTATGTCACCCTTAAGAACATGATCTCTAATAAAATGATGCTTAATGTCAATATGCTCTAGAGTGATGCACAGGATTTTTTGAAAGACAAATTGCACTTCAATTATCACAAAAGATAGGTTTAAAAGAAAGTTCATAGTCACCCAATTGATGAGACATCCATAGGAGTTGTGCACAACATTGACCAATGGCAATATACTCAGCTTCAGTAGTGGACAAGGCGATTGATGCTTGCTTTTTACTGTTCCAGGATATTAAAGCCTTTCCTAGTAATTGACAAGTGCCACTCGTGCTTTTCCTGTCTTCCTTATCACCTGCTAAATCTGCATCTGAGAAACCTTCTAATTTAAACGAGTTAGAGCGAGGATACCATAATCCATGAGATACTGTGCCAATGAGATATCGAATAATTCTTTTTACAGCAGTCAGATGTGACTCCTTGGGAGCCGATTGAAACATGGCACATTTACAAACGCTGAACATTATATCTGGTCGACTTGCGGTCAAATACAGTAGTGATCCAATCATTCCTCTGTATTTGGTTTCATCAACTGGAGTACCCTGTTCATCCTTATCCAAATTTGTAGTCGGACTCATAGGCGTGCCAATTGATTTTGCTTTGCTCATACAAAATTTCTGGATCAGCTCCTTTGTATATTTAGTCTGACAAATGAAGTTTCCTTCTTCGGTTTGTTGAATTTGAAGCCCAAGAAAAAATGTGAGTTCACCCATCATGCTCATTTCGAACTCGCTTTGCATGAGATTTGCAAATTCCTTGCACATAAGAGAGTTAGCACTTGTGAGCACGTGATTTTTGCCCTACATGAATTATTCCCAAAATTTCAAACAAAATGATTTCTTCCAGTGTTTTGCAATTTTGTGGATTTTTATGGCATTTCTTGTTAATTATTTGCATTTGTTTGTGCACTTTTATTATTGTTTAAATTATGAAAAATACAAAATACTTGGCATTTGTTTAGGATTTAATTTCATATTTTAGGATTAATTAGTAGTTAAGGAAAAAATAAAGAAAATAACAAAAAATGGTCTTTTTGCATTTTTAGTCTTAATTTGTCTCAATTTGTGCTTAATTAGGAATTAGTGTAGTTGAAAATTAAGTACTATAATTCTAGAAGTCGATTTGGGTTTTTATTTGTTGATTTGGCATTTAATAAAAATCAGAAATAATAAATACAAAATATATAAAAAAAGGAAAAGAAAAGAAATTAATTGGAAAAAACTAAAAGAAATAGTGGTCTTAGTAAATGCCCAAATTTGGGCCAAATTGACTTAGCCCAAATGAAATCCAATACATAAATTACCCCAGCCCAAGCCCAAATCGTCAACCATGTCCAACCCGCCCCGTTACTTAACCAAACGACCCCGTTTCGATGGTCTTAAATCCCAACCGTTGAGGATCTCTGATCCAACGGCTGGGAACTGATCTAATTTCTATATTTAAATGTCGGACCATGACCCCCACCCCCTCATCGTGTCCCTCATTTCAAATCCTCAGAGAAACCCTAATCTAGACAGCCGCCACCAATTCCCCACCGGCTCCGGTGGCGGCGCCACCGCAAATCGACCCCAAAAATACACCTCTAACTCCCCTCGCCCCCCTCTTTCCAACTACGCATTCAGTTTCCCTCGGATCAGTCCCCACCTCCTCGAATCTTCATTTGAAGTTCAGACCCAAAACCCTAATCCTCCCAAATCCGCCTAAAATCACACCCTATAGTCTCTTAGGCATCCTCACTCCGAATCCCTAACCAAAATCTCTCAAATCCAAGTGGAACTCGTCGAATTTCAAATCTAGGGTTCATGGGTTCGAACCTGTTTTGGGAGGTTTTGAAGTCCGTTGATTTTTGGTTAATGTTATATGCCTATTTCGGACGAAATAGACAAATAATATTAACCGGAAATCAATTTCGACGGTTTAGCCATATGAAGCCGGAAATCAGTGAGTCCATGTTTCTTCTTTTTCTTCTCTGTTTTCAGTTTTTATTTTTCATGTTATTGTTTGTTTAGAATTCTGTTGCTATGTCGTGGTGATTTAAAATTTTAATTTAGGTCATAATTGTTCTTCCCCATATAATTAGTGTGTAATCTGCTCATTGATTTCAGTAGTAAGATTCCGTGTTCAACTGTCATTCTGTATGTTTGATTTCTGGCCGATTAGTCTTCATAGCTGGTCTCATTTTTGGTTCTGTTTGATGTTCATTAGTTCATTGCTGTGTTAGCTTTAAGATTTCTATTTGTTTAGAGTTAAATGTCAGTTAATTAGATTAATTAGGTTAATTTTTGTTTAAGTTCTATTTGGTTGATCAATTTGCAGTGATTGTTTTACTTGATTATTTACTCATGGTAGAATTAATCTCCTTTTAGTTCAATTCTAGGCTTTGTTTGATTTTTAGCTGTTTGATTTTCAGAACTACTGGTTAGTTAGACAAGTTATTGGTTAGCTAATAGGGCTGGGGGTAAGTTAGTGATTTCAGGACCAAGTCAAGGATAAAATAGGTAATTCAAGGGTAGGGATTTTAGCAAGAATTTCCTAGAAGCTTCTAGATGTGGGTTTTAAGGTAAATTTCAGAAGATAAGTGTGTTAACTTGAGAAGCAAGTTAAAAAAAATAGAGGACTGATCTGCAAATAAAAAGGGACTAGGATGGAAAACCAAAAATCTGAAAGGCTGCCCCCAC